CAAGCATGTATATTTCAGAAACATATTAACCGTTCTCAGCTCTTGTCACTAGCAATGACTGGTTATTAAATTTCATTGCCTTATTGCGATATTTTGTACTTTTCTGTTTATGCACAAACTATTGTTTTCCTTTATTAACATATTCACCAGGAATGTAAAATTTTACGTTCACAAACTGACGGCAAAGCTTCCAAAACATCCTGAACTCTAGATAACTTAATTAAATTTAAGAAGATTTCTTGCTACCCATTTGCAGCCTTGTGAATATTTTATAACTGGCGCTGTAAAATAGCAAAATAGCGTAATTATAATTTATTATCAATCGTATGTAAAATCCATAGCTTATGACGATATTAATCAATACATTATCACACTGTCACACATCATATCACTGAGAATATCCGATAACGGCAAACAATTATTTAATTAATTTAAAACATTTTATAAATGGTTTTGCGCTTTTTCCACAAACATTTAATAAAAAAAAAACTCACAAAATTCGGTAAAAAGTTCGCTCGACTTGTGTGTTACACAAATTTTTCTCTAACGAGCAGTTTTTCTATACAGATTGAAAAAATTGCAATGTATGAACTTGTTTTTTTTTATATCATCCACCAAAGCAAAGAGAAAACCCAACGTTTAATTTTGCAGTGGTCTGCTTTCCTGCGATGCAAACATGAATTCCAATTATACAAGAAGTTTGATATATATTTTACTCGTTTGAATACATGCATGACACTGCGTATGTTACATCAGTTAAGACAAAATCAAAATACAGTTATTTTGATTTACAGCTCCTACGTGGATGCCAAACGGCGTATTCGTTTCCAAGTCTATTTCTCCATCTGCAGCTGTGTGTGAGTATATTTCCCGCCTTAATAAATTTTACTTTGCGCATAATGTAAAACACCCGGTACATGACAGGGAACGCTAACGAATATTGGTACACTGTGTGCCTGAAATCGGATCTGCCAGATAATATAGATCGTTATGTGCGGTGTTTCCGTATTGGAGCATTTTTACTTTCCCACGGGTCCATTTTCAGCTAAATACATCCAGATCTTATGACGGGCAATGTTGCCAGTGCTGGACATCGCCGACGTTTTTTATCGACACACTGCATATAAAAATATTTTAATGTTTTCAAAAGCATACGTAAGTTAGTTTAATGAATAGACGCTGACCAACTATCTTGCTAATATTTTGCTAAACAATAGCGATATGGTTTGCAAGAAATGTCTTTTTTTAATGTGACATTACAAAGAATAAACGTTTAGGGCAATGTAGTTGGTTTTAAGTGCGTCGGGTACTATACCTGCTTTTGCTTATTTTTTGTGAAGTGACTTTTTGAAAACGAAAATGTGTTTTTCTACACCCTTAAGTAAAATAGTCAATATGCCGATCGACGGCTTGAATTGGATGTTTATCAATTCTGACAGTCATATCACACGTCAATGAATGTGTTCGTGATGTTTTGCAAAAATGTACCCAAAAACTAACGGCTGTAGAAAAAGTATAACATGCCACACATCTGATAAACTATGTAAGTCACTCGTTTATTAAGCACTGGCACCACTGACAAATAAAATTTCTCATTCAAATGCCGTTTACCAAACCTGTTGCTTAATATATAAGTTTGCAAAGAATTTGGAGGTATGCATGTCATTTCATGTGTATGTAAACAAATTAAAGACGTGTTTTCTAGGCGGGTGTACTTATTTTCTTGTTTTTTGTCTTTGAGTATTGTATTATCTGTGACATATGCGAATGTTCGTCAATGAATCTGGCATTCGATTTCACAAACAAGTTCTTGCGGCAAAATTTTAATTTATTTAAAAGACATTTAACTAATCATATATATTTTTATTTTGCTTACAACCCGAATTAGTTGAATCTGCTACTCAGCATTATCCTATAGGTACGGTTAAAATTCAAGAAGTCGCTTTTCCTTAACTCTAAAAAATTTTCCTGTTGAATAAGCTTCTTGTGTATCAAATTACAAAAGATAATAAAACACGAGACGATCTAATCGTTTTCATCAGCTAGTTAACAAGTAACGGCATGAGCTCTTTTACTGCCCCTTAACAAGAATTTAATCTGTGGGCTCGGACAATAATCGTATGCCAGAAGGGAATATCTCATCAGCTTAGGCGTAACAGCAAATTATATCCGCAATAAAATTCGACTACCAAACGTCTCTGCCATTAAGTTTTTTGAATCATTTCACTGTCCGTTTTCGAAATAGGGGATTGTGGAATGAATGATTTTGAAACTCCTTTACCAATGAAGCGGACAATGTTGGGAACAAAATTTCAAGTTTGTATTAAAAAAACTACATATAAGGAACTATTAAAGAAAAAAAAAACCATTTCCTTAATTATTTTATTTTAGTATGCTTGGTTTGATGGTATCAGCATCAAAAGGGCTAATATCCGTAATCTGAATATTTCAGGTTAGTAAAATATAGAATGATGATAGTCCCATAATATATTTATGTACATAAAAAAGGTAAGCGCATCTCCGAGGGACCAGTAAAGTTACTATAAACACTCAGATACTGTATAAACTATATTTAAGTTTTTTCTGAATAAAAAAAAACAAAAATAAAAAGTTACTAAATTTCTCACAACTTATGCTCAAGCATAATAATAATAAAAAAACACGAATATCCCACGTATAGTGTACTTTAGGGTGTAGACGAGTATTCTGTACCCTTTCTACCTAACTCATATTTTTTCGGAGGTGATGGGTTCGATTCCCACCGGGTGCCTTGGGTGTTCTAACCGTTAAAAATTTGTTTATATAAGTTACAACTTGGTTGGTAAACTGGCATGATTGCCTTATAAAGTAGTGGCCAACGAAAGCCTAATTAAAAAAAAACTCACATATTTAGGAACATTTATTTGGGTTGTCTGAATTCATTTAACTTAATTAAAAGCGAAATGACTTTCTTAAATTTTGTTCCACTGTCGGGATGATTTTGAAAAATATAGCGCTGAAACATTTCTAGGGTAGGGTTTGATGCCAAATTTATAAAATAAGGCTAAGCAAATGTGAATAACTTCAGCACCATTTGCTTATATGCCATAAAACATATTTTTTCCTCATTGATCACTACAACCAAAAGCTTATTGGACAATTGGTTAAAATTCTAATTTGAATTAACGTTTTCTTATATCGTTTTTTTATATATCAGGTGTTGCAAAAGGTATCAACGTTATTTTATGTATATTGCCCTCTGTATACATTATTTCCGAATTATTGTGTTTTTTAACTTTGGTGCCCCGTAAAACAGAAACCCTAAAATAAATCTTTGACACGAAAATTCATATAAAAGATTTTATTTTTAATATGGCACTTAATATGTCTCTCAAATAGGGATATATAGTAGAAGTAAAGTAGTAGCTGGTAAAACGATTTTGCTCCTTTATAGAAGAAAGAGTATTTGTATCGTGTTTTGGTATGACGTAGTTTCGACCTATTGCGCACCCGGAGACTACATACCTTCAATCGCGATGGAAGATACTGTGGTCTCCGATTTTTTAAAATATTGAAGATTAATAGAAGGAACTGAGTGTGGAATCGGCTTTCCGGGTTAAATCAGTTACTGCGATCCAACTCCTTAAGGTTATATCAAAATCAAATGCAGGAGCTCTGGATCATCTCCAAGCTCATCCGATCTAGATGCAATAATGCAGGACAATAAACCAAACTGCAGTAGAGTTCAAGCGGTTCAGTATCATCAGGTCGTAAATTTTTAACCTTATAATTATTTGTTTCACCATGGGTGTTCGGGAATCAGAATACAGACGAAAGTCATCAATTTCCGTTCGTTGTTTGTTTCGAATTATGAGGTTATAATTCTTCTAGCTTTTGAAGACACCTTCTGCCGTGGAGGAAGAACTCCACAAGCAAACCCCATACCTCAGGACAAACGCTATTTTAGCAGGATACAAATTAATAGATCGCTTTGTTGTTAACATTTGCCTTAAAATTTGTAAAAGATAGGATGAGTTTATTTTTTTAAATATTAATGTAGGAAATTGAGTCTGGTATCGACTTGCCGGGTTAAATCAGTTACTGCGATCTAACTCCTTAAAGTTATATCGAAATCAAATGCAGGAGTTCTGCTCATCCGATCTGCAGCAGGCCAATAAACCAAACTGCAGTAGAGTTCAAACGGTTCAGTATCATCAGGTCGCCAATTTTTAACCTTACGTCATTGCCACATGACTTTCCAAAAAAAAAAACTAAAACGTGTCACATACGACCCAGAAAGGGAGCGAAATCCCGCACGATATACCGTTGTCACGCCGTTGAACATCGTCGGCGACCGGTTTCCGGCCGGGAATCCCGCCTTGGGGAAAATTCCTGCGTGCCCTGCCCATGTCTTCTTCGTCTTCCCCCGTCCGGTAACTTGAATCATCCTCTTAAATGGATTTTCGCGCCGCCGAAGGTCGTTATTCAAACGCTTAATTACCGGAGACGTTTAACGGTCCGGGAGAGTCACAGCGACGGTGTCCTCGTTGAGAAAAATTGCATATAAATTATCAGTATTTAAAGTTGAACACGATATTTTAAACGACATTTCGTAGCTTTAACCCTAGAAGCGACGAAAGGATTACGTCCACAATATTTGGGCGCTGGAACTGTCTAAATGATAGCACAGATTGCTGGGTGCTTATTCGTACACTGTCTTTTCTACTTTTATTTTCACAGACGAAAGCCATGTATGTTATTTTATATTGTGATGCAAAATTTAATTCTACAATTGGCTAGTCTTTACCCTTCATTATACTTATTTTCTTTATTTCATATTCATATCAAAAATCACTCAAATTGCTAGTCAGCTTAGATTTATACAGATTTTTACATACTGTTGGTTTTATTTCTGTTGAACTGTGGTCTGGATTACCCCATTCGTAGAGCGCACGTAATTTCAGAATGGAACGGCACGTGGTGATCGCTATTGTTTGGTTCGGCTTCGGTCGGCCGATGCCGTTGCCTAGGCAACCAGTGAATGTATTCATCTCCCAGCACTGGTGTGTTTCTATTTTGTGTTCTCATTTGTGCGTGTTTATTTTATAGAGCTCTGTTGGTTGATTTTTCATATTTTGTAATTGATTATTTCTATATTGCCAAGTAATTTGTACAAATAAGGATTCAAAAAAATTGGCCTTCGCTGCAACCGATCGAGTGACTCTGGGTTGACGGGCGTCTGCAATCAGTGATAAGTGTCCCATTCTGAAATTACGTTCACTCTAGATTCGAATTTTCCACCCCGTGTCTACTCTAGGCCAGCACAAAGTAGAGAGGAATTTATTCAACTGTATTGACGATATGGAAGGTACTTACAAAAAAAAATTCTTAACTAAATTCAACTTAAACTACCCACAAAAATATTTTAGTAATTTCTTTCCAACACTTCTTTTCCACCTTTTAAATAATTTTTATAAATTATACACACCTTTATATGTAAGAAATTTAAATGTGGACTGCGCAAAATTCAAAGATTTCATTGACCTAATCTGAATGTAAAGAGAAAGTACCCAGGTCAAAAAAACTAATGGAAAATGCATCACGGTTGATCAGCCTCGAATAAAAGTTCCCACAGTATGGCTATATGTAGATTTTAAGATATAAAAGGGTGAGTTTGTCTTAATTGCTATCCGGAGTTTTAAGAAATAAATCTGCCAAAGTTTAAGGTGCGATTTCTGGTGTGATTTTAAGACAAGAATTTGAATAAGCAAAAAAAAAATCTGCCTGTGTATAACACAGGATGTTTCATAAAAGCGTGACAATACAAAAATAATTTGCACATTATATATTTTTTCTATATGTTAATTCCCTTCTATATAATTGAGAATATTTTTGAAATGTTTATCTTTCGATTTTATGGAAATAAATTTCAAAATAGTTAATTATAGAATAGATAATTGAGGGAGATATAGGAAATTATTATTTAGCCAACAGCATTTGCATTCGAAAATTTTGGCTCGCCTTGCAATCTGCTTGGAATATAAGAGACCGAAAACTTTATGAAGGAAATCGTAAATGTATATGCCGTCTCGGTGTGGGCACATCTTAACGATTTCTGAGAATGAGTAAATCATATTTATCTTGGTTATAGCTTTCGACTTATTTAAATAAAAATCATACACATACAGCGAACTTTTAACCAAATGGCGTGTCCCAAAATTGAACTGCAGCCGTAGGAATCTGCCGCAAGGTCGGTTGAATAAGTAGGATTTTAGAAAAATAATTGACCTCTAGAGGGGCTCAAAAATTATATTAATTTTGCATTTTCTGACCTTATCATCACATTAAAGACAGAGTTAAATACAAAGTTTATCATTACAAGGAATATTTCCAAAATTATGTGAACTTTGCTGTAATTTTTATTATTTTGTTAATTTTCGTCAATATTACAATGTGGTTTTTCAATATAATCTCTGTTTAACTGCACACATTTATCGCAACAATAAACTAATTTTTTAAACCGTACGCAAAGAACTCTTTTGGTGTCTTCTCAACCCACCTATTTATGCCATGTTTTACGTCAGTTAAACTTTCAAATTGAACAGCGGTTTTTTCAAATTTTTCAAATAAGGAATCCAAGTTTCGTCAGTGAGTTTTATTTGTTTCCAAAAGTTGACGAGAAGCATCAAACCTATTGACTTTCTGTTCTGGTCCCACAGCCTTGCAACTCAGCGCGGCGAAATCTTGCTAATCTCCAAACAATCATGCAAGATGTCATGAACTGCACAAATAGTTATTCACCTGTCCTCTTTCAGGAGGTCTTCGATGGCAGTAATATTTCTTTCGTTTACCGAGATGTTTGGACGTCCAATGAATGAATAGTACTCTAGTGATGTTCTAGCTGCTTTAAAAATATTGATCCAGCGATAAACAGAATTTTCATTTTCGTTAAATTGTCCTTCTCAAATATCGGATCCGTGTATAACAATCGTTGCCCATTTCTGGGATTCTGCATTATTTAATTGCAAGGGAAAGTTTTGGAACTATTTTGAACACGGAAACGGAAAACCAAATACAGACCTTCAATTTTTAACTCTAATATGAGGTAGGTGGTTTCTGTTTGAAAAGAACAATTTTTGTAGTTGATACCCGTTTTCGATATAACCGGAATTTCAAATTTTCAAATATTTATTAGTAACGCTTTGCCTATGGCAGATCGCTGAAGTTCTGTAGAAGGTCTTTAAACGTATATATTTAAGCTATCGCTTCGTGTCATATTTTCTTTAATATCTTAGATATTGAGAAGACGCGGATTAATAATAATGAACTGCTTGACAAATATAAATTGGGTAATGTCTAGAAATACAATTTTTTGACGTTTCTGAAATGTGTAGAGACTTGAACAGATGTAAAATTACAGTTTGCCCTTTTTGTCGAAAAGAAATATGTATTTCGATGGTAAACTTTCGAATCTCAACTCTTGCCGTTCGATTAGCTTAAAAATTAATAATTTATATTCAAATTAACGTTGGCGAAAATATAAAAAATGTTAATTAGAGTATTTTAAAATTACGCTACACAATACAATTTTTCAGGCTCTATAGATGATTTTTGATTTGATTATTAAGGAAATGTGTCAAACCAGCAAAGGCAAATTGATTCACTGCTTCGTAATGGCCGATCAAACCTCAAAAAAAAAAATGAAAATTTAAAAATAAAATAGTACAAAAGGAGATTTCCCCCATTTGAGTGTAAATTATTATTTATTAAATCAATGGCTTTTGCCTTGCAGGACGTCCTACATTTAATTTCAACACGTGGTCCATTTTAAAATGTAAGGTAACCAGCACCAGTCCGTCAGAACTGTCGATTTTCAACGAAACAAGAAGATGCAAACACGCACTCAGAGCAGGTCCGAGATCGAAGTATATTTGGAACGCTTTTACACAAATTAACAAACTACAACGGACGTTATTAGCAATCGTCGGGCGACTTTAATGACGTAATACCGGGCACGTCAATCAGTCTTATTCAAGTCGGTAAGTAATTTTTGTTTTGCAACCGTAAATTATATATGAAAACTCGAAGGGATTATTTTTAGAAATAATAAATAATTATATGGATAAGCTTAAAGAAAAATAATCGATAAACCACTCTCAAGGTACGTACGTAAAGAGATCTACAGAAGTTTAATATTGAATATAATCGTAGCACCTTCATTAAATTTGCACTATTGCCAACCATATGCCTTCTAGAGCCTTAATTGGAAGTTAGGAGCGCTTGGAACTGATTATTAGATATACAGAGTATTTCCACCAACGGCCGAAGAGTCGTCATCCAAAAAATTAAAAAAAAAAAAACGCTTTTTTAGAATATGCGAAACATTTTTTCTCCGATTTTGTTGAAATTTACGCAGCCAAATTTATAATAGTAAAACTAAGAAGATGTAAACCACTGACTTTTCTGTAATTGTTGTTTAGTTTAAACAAGTCAGAAAAAGCACAACTTTTTTGACTTGCAATTTTGGGCAAAATGTCGTAATTAAGAACAAATGCCCGTTGCAACAAACCCCTTATTTATTCTAATAAAATAAAACGGGGTATTCGCCACCATATTAAACTTTTTTTTTTAAATTATCCCAAACCTGTGACTAAAATACCGGGAATGGAAAAAAAACAATTTAACCAACTACCGGAAATTACAGATAAACAAAATAATACCGAAGTATTTTTCTTCATCAATAAAAATGACAATTTAAATGTGCTCAAACTTTTTTTTCAGATAGCAATAAACGTAAAACACCTCCACCGACCATCTGGTAAGCCTGTCGCCCACATCTAAAAAAACCGTGAGCAGTGTTTTCAAAACAAATATCTTATTTATATCGTTACCCCGGGCCCATTAGAACATACTCAATCTAAATGGTGTGAATAAAACTTGTTCGCCCAGAATATAATCGGGGCTTCCCACAAAGGTCATATTTTAAATTAAAGTAATCCCAAATTGACATATTTAAGCGCAAATATACCTTCTTAGATGGTTTTTTCCGAGAAAGACGAGTGCACATCACGATAATGTCGTCACAAGTTTGTAGATGGCCAAACTGAACGGCTAAAATATGAAGCAAATCCACACGCACACGCCGATCATAATTTTTTCTTGCGCTCGTTTTGCGGTAAATAGAAAATGTACAGAGTGGGTCAAAAAGTAAATATTGAGACCCAGTTACTTTTGTTAAATGGAAATTTTAAGTCATCTAAATTTTGTGGTTTTTCTTTACACGTCTAAATAAATCCAGAGGAAAAAATGCAGCGGAATAATCTGGACATCTTGCAGATCATTCTATTGAGCTCCTTCTACCAATCCCCTGCCCGGGAAATACCGTATTTATATATTCATGCCCTTGTCCTGTTGAAACTAAATCTGTCCATCTAGCATAATAGGCTGATTTGAATTTCGGAAAGAAACTGTGCGAGTAGGAATTGACTTATTTTGAATAAATTGTAAATATCGAGTTCCAGTAAGATCTTGATCGAAGAAAAGAAAAGAAATCCAATATGTTTGTTATTTAAAATCCCTGCCAAAACATATATTTTTTGTGTATGAATTTCTCTCATCCAGTGGGGATCATTTGTGCTCCAATACCAACAAAAAGATGAAATATCCGATGGGGATTAGCATCAACTTCTAATAAAATGTTTAATCTTGCGATCTCACTAGTTTCTGGACGATCTGACCCACTCACTTGGATCTTGTAAGTGGTGTCTCTAGATATTTTGCGTTAAATAAATTATAAACTTTTTCTTGAGTTCTCCTGTTGTCTCCATATCCAGTAAACATTAAAATTTCAATCCTTTCAGTTTCATATAGATGCTCCACACCCACTTTCTTTACTGACAGATATATAATTGTAACAATTTAAGAACTTTACTGGTATTAGCTTTCATTTCAAAATTAAATTTCCGTCTTTATTCTTTTGCCCTTAAAAAGTAAAAGATAATTATATGGTATGCTACATGAACTTTGCGTAAAATTTTACGCAGAATTCGAAAATGGTGTTTTTTTTTTAAAAAAGGAATTTGGTATCAACATCCACTTTTTGACAAACCCTGCAAAAATTACACAAAAAAATTGGGTGCGTGAGCATTTTTCTTAAAATCCAATAATAGTATATTATGCAACAAGTGCGGTAAACGGCATTTGGCTCACGAGTTTATTTATTTACCGAACGTGTTGCATACTATACTTTTTCTACGACCATTAGTTTTTTTGATTAATTTCCGAAGTGGCTTGGATCCGTGGGAAACGAAACTGACGTGGTAAAGTGACGCTTCCAGCACGCTGTGTAATTAGGCATTTTACAGATGGGAGTAGAAAAATGAACTAAAAGTTCAGATTTTCACGAAATTACATTGTTTCGACAACACCGTATCGTTATCAAATTTGATAAAGACACGATGCTGTCGAAACAATTTCATGTAAAAATATATAATTTCCTGAAAATCTGAACTTTTAATTCTTATTTATTTTGATAAATGGATTTTCATCACGTAAAAGCCACCTCAGTTCAATAGTAGAAAAATGTCTTTAAAGCTTATAGTAAAAAAATACCTAAATAGAAAAAGCTGTCTATAAATAGCAAAGCAACTACCGGTTGATTTTCTTAGACGATCTGAAAAGTCAGATCAAGGTATCGGTGGTGGTCTTGTCCACATGATTCCAAATTCTAAAGTTGTATACATTTTATAAATTTATTAGGTAAGCTCTAAAGAAAATGTATTTAATTTTTTTATGCGTTGCGACGTTGTCCATCAGAAATAAAGATAAAGACGTGCGCTAAAATAATGGAATGTTGGTATTTGACCGGAAACATCTTCTCGGTACCCGAACGAATGTGCGAACAAACGCGATAATTGTCGAGACAAATAAATTAAAAGAAAAGCGGCCAAAATGGCAGACCATTCGCACCGCACCGAATTGTTTACATATGTCCCGCGCACACTGGAAAATTATACAAACTTTCGGGTTTACTGTGGGACGTTGCACTCGCGTTTCACAATTTTTATAAGACAGACAACAATAACAAAGGCGACTAGAAAGAAGTAGCATTTGTTTATTTGAATGTATTTTTTGCTAAAGCGTATTATAAGCTACAGTGGTCTGCGATACCAGGTAAAAATGTACACAGTATTTATTGCCGTCTTACTTATTTGGTTCGTTAGGTAAATAACGAATTCACGTTATGTAGCAACTCTCTGTCGTCTATTATCTAAGATGGAATCATGTTTTATAATAGCATTTAACAGCTTAAAACCGTCAAAGAGCTTAGTTTCCAGAGATTTATTTCTTTTAACCTACAATTTTGAAACCCCCTGAATTAAGTTTGGTACGCCTAATATCGATCAAAAATACAATATTTGGCCTTATTAAGCTATTTTCTACTAAAAAGGTACGTAGGCATTGGAAAATGCGAAAACATAAACATAAGGATAACAGGATATAGGAAGATCGAACGCGTATCAAATTTTAAAATGTACTCATATTTGCAGGGAAAAAACAAGTACATAAAAAACAAAAAAATTGTATTTTTTTCAAATAAATAACCAAAACACCAGAAATTACGCTCTACCCTATATCTAGAAAATAATAATGTAACGGAAAACCAATGTTTGACAACCACTACATTGCAAACTAACATCGTACAAAATAAAGTACGCGAACGCTTTAACTAATCGGCAGCTTCGACGCAAAATATTTTTCACTTTATTCCCACTCCAAAACAGTAAACAGGATTTTTCACGCTATGGAGCACAGAATATTTTTTAATTGTGATAACCACTTGGAAATTATATTAAAATTTTGGACGGCATGTATACGAAAGTTCAATTAATTGTTTAAGTAATGGTAATTACTGTCAAATTTCTTAAAAAGTCCTTTAGTATGTAACTAAGAAAAAAAATATTACATTTTGACAAAATTTAAATCATGGATTAGGTGTCATAAACTTTAATAAAGCCGACACTTATCTAAATAGGAAAACACAAAAATTCATAAGTATAAAGGAGATTCCATTAAAAAAAAAATAAAATTAATACTAAAATTGATAATGCCATGTCCCCCAGCGTGAATTTTTGAAGATATTCATCTCACGTATGTATTTAAAAGTGAAGACTTTCACGGAAATAAAACACGCATTATAATAACGTTCCCTTTCAAAACCTTTAAATAAACAATTTTTTTCATCAAACTGATATGAAAAATATGAGAAGATGTAGTCACTTCCATGCTATACGCCGGTAGATAGGGAAAGGAAAATGAGATTGTCACTTACCTTTCAGCTGCGTGGTTTCTATGGCATACATGTTCAAAGCGAACAACTGAAGGAATCTGTTGCAAGGTAGTGGCACAGGCGAATGCTGAAGAAGCGCTCGAAACTCTTTCAGCATCTGCGTGGCGCCATCTTGAAAATCTTCCACACTAAGACAAATTAAAATTTCCCTATCACATGTTATTTCAATTTAATTTAATGTCGATTGTGTCAATTGTGTATGATAATTAATTAAACATTTGATTTTTGACCAACGTAAGACATAAAACAATTTCCCAAATTTAGAATCTTAATGTCAATAATAAATAAAATCATTCGAATTGCAGACAAAATGAGATCACCTCAAAAAAAACACAGGTGCATTTCTGTATTACTTCAAATAATTAACTAGAAGTGTATTTTGAGCAAAATTAAATTATCATTACTGAACAGATCCAGTTAAAATAAAAATTTACCAAAAGAAATTGTTGTTCGAGAACTCAACATGAAAAATAGAACAACACATTAAACATTTAAAGTTAAAGGAAAGAAAAACAATAATTACGAAACACTAAACTTCTCAGTGAATTTCGCCTAAATAAAGGATTACCTTGAATGGTGCGCAGTGGAATGCTGAGTTCATTTTTTTACAGTTACCTGATAATTTAAGAACATTATCCATAAAAATGCAACAGAGTTAGGTAAAAACCATAAAAAATTAAGAGAAATAGCATTTATTATAACCTATCTATCGCTTCCTCCTGACCTAATCGATAGTTAAAGTTAAAAATCAGTTCAAAATTGTGTCCTTATCGTTAAAGACATAGTGCCCATAGTTTTATGAACTAGTGTTTATGTACTGCAACCATATATAAATTTATTTAAGAATTTTGGTTATGTAAAATTGAGTTATCTACCCGATATATGCAATTTAAGGCATTTTTAAAATATGGTAGCTTGTTAGTTAATAAATTATAAATTCCAAATCTTACTCGGTCTTCATTATAAGCTTCCCATGGACGTGTAGGTAGCTTATCACGAACCTCTTGTTAACCTGTAACAAACCGCAAAACATTATTGAACAACAAACATGTTTTCAACAAAAATCTTACATCTACGCTACTAAGTGACGCCAAATCCTCCTCGTCGGATTCAATGACGTCTTCTTGAAGCGCTTTCGTCGTTCTGTGCAGCCGCCTTCCACCGTGTGGATAAATCCAGGTCTCCTTACGAAGAAAATTCGGTTGGCCGCTCTCCTCCGATTCTTTCTGTTTCATATACTGCCTCTGTCGTTCCATTCGCTCTTCATGGCGTTTCTTTTCGCCTTGCAAGTACTACACAGCAAAATGAATTATTAAAAAAAAGCATGCATGAGTTACCGTGCAATAAAGGGCATAAGATATGCGATTGAGTATATACAACAAACACATAAACAACATGAAATCACTAACACTAACCAATATTTTGCACACCAAACTTCTTTTAGTTTAAGTTATTTTCTCGATGAAAAAAAAATTTTGGTTTATAATGTTCACTACAGAAAAATATGGCCGACAGCATCTTTCATTCTGCCCTTTATAAGAAAAAAACAAATTAATAGGAAGACTTGGTTAAAAAAAAACTCCGGAAATCACTGTTGGAAAATTGATAGTGTATGCGAAGATTTCACCAAACACTATACAGAGTTCCCCAAACTCGATGGTATTAGATGTATATGAAGAATGGATAAAGAGGCCTTTAAAAACTGAGTTACCGCCATACGAGCCTACGATCTCAATTTTTCAAATATTTCAGAAATTACAGCGTTGCTACATTTGCTAGAACCACACACCAACTTCATTATTCTTATTATTATTAAATATATATTAAATTATTTTTTAGAAAATTGGTTGATGAACATCTATCATGGAATTAATTATCTGTCTTTCAACCATTTAAGTAAAAGTGTGAAATTCTGTTTACCGCTAGTGCATGGGCTACTATATCATTTAATAACATGAGATTTAAGTTCTCGCATACAGGGGGTTATAAATATAAACAATATATTTTATGGCGGCATTTATTCTTGATCTAAAAGTATCATAAACATAACAAACCTATTTTAAATCGTTTTGGAGTTAAAAGGAAAAAAATGGCATTACACAATTTAATAACTATCTTAGTAGTAAACAATGGCGATATTTTTTGATAATTGAATTAGATAAAATTTATCAAACAATAAACTTTGATATGGCGAATTCATATTCGAATAACGATTTATTAATAAAACAAAGAAAAGGGGGGTTTCTGCAACCCGAAATTGTGAGTTTCTTCTGTTGGGCATTTACTTTTTTTTAATTTACACTGTGCCTGCGTTTCAAATAATGCTTTATAAACAGTTTGTGATATTTTATGAGAATCTGAGTTAGGTCGCTGGGTTGAAGAAATGGTAGTATAATTTATTTGTCTTTTAACTTCTGTTGACGTGTATTTACGTGCTCGTTTATAGGACTGTTTAATGGCGCATAGCAAATATACACACAATTTTCATCCATCAGAGACAAATTTGAAAAAAGCTCATTGAATTTACCCCATGTTCTTCCAATAAGATTTTTAGAATATTTAGTTAATAAGCCATCTGAAAATAACATAAAGTAATAACTAACTAAATGACTTACTAGGAAAAACTCGCATTATTCTAGTTTTTTGCTTTTAATTCCTAAACGGTTCAAAATACGTATGGCATGATTTAAAACTTGTAGATCGATCGATCGATCGATTGTTCTCTTTATTCCAGCAATAAAAGCAACCCGTAAACAAATTTCAGAATTTTACCGACAAATTCTCAAAAAATATTTTTTATCCCCGAAACTGAACATGAGACCTATAAAATGTTACCTAGAAAATTTCAGAAAAAATTGTAATAATAAACAGAGCATTCCATTTTACAAAAATGAAGTTGGTGTGTGGTCCAAGTAGGTGAGGCAACGGTGCAATGTCCCAAGTATTTTAAAAATAGAGATCATCCTACGGCACCAACCCAATATTTAAATGCCTGTCCTTTTTGCATTCTCGATATTCGTCATCGAATTTGGGTAACCCTGTGTAAATTACGTACCAAGAAAACCTTTATTTTTTTACTGTAAAAAATTCATGCGTTGCAGGGAGTCATTTTTTTCGACCTTAACGGAAAGGTTTATTTTTGTCATAACTTTGTTAGGTTATATTATTATTTAATACAAAATGTCAGCTCCTTTGTAGAATTTTCTAATTCCGTTTTTCGACAACATGTTTTTAACATTAAAGACAAAATGCCTGTTTAATCAATTTTCGATTTACATGATGTCTCTGGTCAAACCAATCGACGGCACATAAAAATGAAAAAGATATGGAACAACATAAATTATTTTAGCTCAGCTTGTGTGTATTTATTGTGTCACATGACCACGCGTTTTAATACGATCAGTGTACAGCAGCGATATAAAAGGAAAATAAAATTATAAGCGCGTTTATTAATGCATAATGAATAAATAAGTCGACATTTAAATTAATAATGTAAGTAAAGCATACATATTGGTCGATAATCCATAGACGTATACATTTTTTTTTGAACTGGAAAAATGATATTGTGAAAACACATTAAACCAAAAACCGAGAGCAAACATTCACTAGTTTTTGGAATTTAAGCCACACCTATAGCGTGTGAACATTCCAACATAATAAATATGCTACTACAAAACTGACAAAGCAAAATTAAAAACTAAATGAAGAAAACCGCAGCAAGTCTACGCCCATGGGGTGCATAAAACAAGACAAAACTGCCAAGATAAGTAACACAATAATATGCATTATACTATGTATACGTACACATATTTGATGAAGATACTGGAAGAGATGGCCGCCGCGTTAGGAACAGAAGAAAAGGACATTATAATTTATTTTATTGCCGTTTATAACAACACACGGTACATTTTCTATATGTAGATTTCGCTGCTTCGCTTGTTAGACGACCGATACTTTACGTTGTTAAAGTTATTACGAATCCCAGTTTTCTTTTACGGAATCGTCTCGTTACGCTAAGTGACGTTTTCCAGCGAACGAATTTGAAATTTTTTTGGTCAAACGCATGCTTGGGTTTGTGTTGAACTTAAAATTAGACATTCGAGGTAGGCGAACATTTTCAGTAGCTACTTCACGAAAATCAATAGGCAATACTTAATTGAACAGAACAGAAAATTAGTCTATTATAAAACCACTTGCCTCATTTTTAACCGTTAATATACCGAAACCATAGCGAGTTGTCCTTCCTTTGCACATAATTACATTTTTATATTTGGGATGGACTAGTCCGATAGAACCAAAAGTTTAATATTCCTGAGATGATAAATTTTACGAATATGTCGGTTTAAAACTGCATTACTGAGTAGATAGTAACAAATTATGCAGAAATTGATTCAATTAACCCCACGATTAGGGAGGACTTTCAAAATTTAAGGTTTGTTGACACGCACTACATCACTTTTTATCAAAGTTACAACTTAAGAAACTTTCATGATAACGGCGAATCGACATGTATCATCAAGTTTAATGTATTTTAGGCAAAAATCCGTCTATGAGTTAGTTGTCTTAACAAAATACAACAATACAATCTAATACCAAAAATTAAAAAATCGCTCAAGGAATGAGCGAGATACGGGTTTGTATCCAACTGAGAGAGATTTCATGAAATGCTGTCAAAAAAACTTAACAATTGAAGGCTAAGCAATCCGGAATGCAGAGGAATTATCAATTTCTTGTTCCGGAAACAATATATACGAATAAACAATTATATTTATGATGATTTCTTAATTTATTAACCAAGATAAATTTAATTTGCATTTCGTTGTGTAACCTCTTAAGACCATTTGGTTAGCAAATTTATACTTAGGCACAGGAATCAGCCTCAATAAAAGCGAATGAAAATATTCCAAAAACCTTCTATTCCTAGCAATAACAACAGTTTATGGGAGCGCGATTGACAGTCAAATATATATTTTTTGCGGCCTTTCAAACAAACTAACTAAACATAAAGCTGATTTATTAATTTGTTGCCTACTACTACTTCGAAGCAATAACGGATAACAAAGTCGTTTAAATTAGGTCAACTTTCGAAAACTCGGAATAATAATTAGGTTAACATAGTCGAAAATTCAGGCTTTCGTTTTTCTTTATCAGTTTATTTCAACCGTCTGCAAATCCATTACGCATTTTTTTAACCACTATTTGTCAAAGTTCAAAACCGTTAATTTATTAAATCAGCTTTTGATGTTGTTAGCGTGGACACCTCGGTGTTAAAAGTGGACTTTATTACCAATGACAATGTCATCGACGCTTGTATAGATTATTGACTAATATAGTTTGATGAAAATTTTGTCTAAAAACTAATGAAGTCCATCTATAGAACTGTAATTTTGTAATTTTTGGGAGGCAAACTTTATTTAGTGAGACGGACAATAATGGGGATTGCTTTCTTTTTTGTCAAACACGTTAAGGCAAATGGCTAAAAACGTTAATAGAGATTGTTTCAATTTTTCTAGCTGTTTTTGGGGTTATTAACGGGTACTTTCTGACATAATTTCAATCGTTTATCACTTAAACTTGTGATATAAGTAAAAAATAAACATTTTTGAAATACCTGCTAAAATTGAAAAGTTTTTTTGTTTATTAAAAAATAAAAAATATTGATTAAATTTTTCTAAAATACGTTTGCATTTATTCATTTTTGAAATAATAGTCCTGAAAAAATGCATACTTTCATTTTTTATTAGTTAGATAACTATACATTTTATTTTATATAAATATTCAAAGAAAATGTTATCTGGATAAGTAAGTAAGTAAATAAATTAATCAGCCTCTCTCTACTAGCAGTGTTTTTCTATTGTAAAATTTGCCTCAAAAGTATGACGGCAAACCGTTCCGTTTTACCCATACGATAGGTTTTTGCGGTAACAAAATCTTTATGGTTTATACCTAAGTAGAATTAGAGGAATAAAAAATAACATAGAGGGATATAATTTTTGGGCTATAATGTTTCATATTGCTCCTACCGATAATAAATGATGTAGCTATTGCAATCAAAGCACATATTAAGCATATTTTTTAACCAAAATTTTCGAAAGCGCTTGCCAACGGACTGCCATTGGTACAGAAATGATCAGCATCGAAAAAAATTTCTTTTTTATGTCTGTCCGTTCTCCGTTTTGTGTCGACGCTTCATATAAATGCAAAAGACACGCGAGATCCGGACCAAAAACTTTTATTCTTAATAATTTTTTAAAAATGTATAGGCGTCAATAATTTGCAAAAAAACTGACAAATGGGTTTCCCTTATAATGATAATTAACCATAACTAGAAGACTATGCTTCACATTCGTTTACATGGCCATAAAGCCCATATGAATGGCTAAAACTTTTCTAATTTTTCACATATTGTACAGAATATTCTATGCTATATTAAAAAATATGATAGGTGTCTCAAATCGCTATCGACTTCAAGTTCAGAGAAAAAGTACAAATCTACACCCACGCCTAAACTGTGGAAACTGGGTTATTTTGGGTTTCAGAAATAAATTATTTTTTGTTATAAAATAGTTGTTGTTGAGTATGTATTAAACAACAAAAAATGGTAAAGTCTGTTCATAGATATACGAAAGTGACTAATTGATACGAATTAAGGAAAAACCCTGGCAAGCTGTAAGAATGAAATATGGTAGAACAGGTCCGTACTTTGCTTAGAATTTAATTATTTGGCATTTTGTTAGGAAAGATATTAAACAATATTTATTTATTTATGTATGTATTTGTTTAAATCTAAAATAAAATTACAAAGTATTTTTATTACCTACTTAATTTACTTAAGTTATTCACTTCACTTCTTTTTTTCCTTGCTGAAATGGGATTATTCACAATTATCCATATAGTTGATGTTGGAATTTTCGTCAATGTGGCCGTTTCTTCTAAAGATGCTTACTTGCTGGCATGAAGTTCAATGAGAGTCAAATAAACATTGTTTATAACTTCCTTAGTCGCAATAGAATAGTGTTTTCTACATTTGGGCGGGAGCATCTCCTGAGATACACTAGACTCGCACATATTTTGCATAATTCGCACACGATTCCACACACGTTCTATTACACGCGAAACACGAATGATTACTAAGAAACTTAAACTAAGTATTATACCAAACCAAAGAATATTAAACACGGGTCGGTATAAAATTATTTTCTATTACGGACCACAATTTTACCTGAATTTAAATTCCGAAATTTTAGGTAATAATCTTGTTGAATTGTATGTTAATGACCACCCTTGGACAATCCCATTCAAAAGCAATTGGTCACTTTCTTATATCTATGAACAGACCATACCTATATTTTATTTTGGATGGTAATCCCTCATAATGATAGACAACTCAAAACGCACCTAATAAAGATGGTACAAAATCATATAAGCATTTTTTTTTATGAAACTGTCGTTTTTATTTTAGAGATCATATATCATTTCAGTTATTTAAATCGACCCCAAATTTTACTGCGCGATATCAGAAACTAATTTCATCGATAAATAAAATGACCTAAAAGTCGTGTAAAAGTTGTAGGTCTATTCATGTCATCCTATAAAAATAGCCAAACAAAACCCAACAACTATACTTAAATATGGCAATATCGCAATATGGCAACATGGCCATGGTTTACCAAACCAAAGAATATTAAACACAGGTAGGTATAAAATTATTTTCTGTTACGGACCACAATTTTACCTGAATTTAAATTCCGAAACTTTAGGTAATAACCTTGTTGCATTGTATGTTAATGACCACCCTTATATCTATGAACAGACCATACCTAATTTTGGGGGCCAGTTTCAATTAATGGGCCAAATTTTTTTTTCACTCTCAAGAAGGGATCTAAAAAATGAAAAGATCGCCAAACAGAATGCACTTACCTTTTTCCTATTTTCGTCCAACAGAAATATCAGACTCTCACGAGCTGATGGTACTGGATTTGAGGCCATAAGACTCCTCATGTAATAGTAGACGGCATCCAGTTTACGTCTCTGAAATATTAAAACCCCAAGTGTTAAAAACAAATTTCTGCCTGTGCTTGTTAACAATTAAAACTTACTGAACGAACTGCCAAAACTGCCAATTGGAGGTAAGGTTTCCCATTCTTGGGATTGATTTCGTGCGACTTGATATACCATCTGTAACAAATAACAAAAACTGTTTAAAAAAAAGAACATAAAATATTAACCCGTTAAATAAATAACTTACTGTCTCGATTTCCCAAAGTTCATGGTCTCGTTTACTTGCTCTTTGTATCGACCTAGATCACCCAAAAACATGAAAATTTTCTGGGCCGAAATAAGAGCGAGGCCGACTAATCCCAAACCCTTGTGTTGTACCATACTGTTGTTACCGATGAAGTTTGCTACTTTGAATTGGAACTTGTCTTCCAAGAGACCTACGAGCCGCTCATAGTATTTGGTACCTTCATCTATCAGATACAGTAAGAAAGCCTTGTACTGTGGTTTGCTTTCCGGCTCGTTTGTAATTGCTTTCCTTGTAATCTCGATAATATTGTGGTAGAGAATATTCCACAAGTGAAGTTCCACATTTTCCGTTTGGCAAAATTTTAGAGCTTTCAAAAGGAGATACTCTAACGCGTTCTTCAAAAACTGTCTCAGGTTATCCACAGTTTCATAGTTGACCAATAGCATCCCGTCTTTTATTATATCCTGAAGTTCGATATCAGCACGTTTAATATCCCTCAAAAGATCTGGATAACGGCACAATTTAAATTCCTCTCTAAAAAAATATATCAAAAATTCAAACAAATAAAAACCACACCAATAAAACTTCAGAAAAGTTAATGCTAACCTACTCTCGTCGTACCAACTCGGTCGGACATTCCCGAATTTATCAGTGGCGGATGTCTCAGGCGCAGGCGCATCCAGGTTATGCGTCGAGAATCCTGGCATCGCGGCTCTACTTCCGGGTGATTTAACCAAAATCGGTTTCTTAGGGTTATTGGGATCAAATAGAGTTTTCTGTTGTGGACTTTTCCTTATGTCTGGATATTTAGGCCAATCCTGCATAAGAGATGGATTGAGCTCTAGTGATTTCGGTGGTAAAACCAATATGCCGGCTTTTTTTATCTCCCCCGATATGTCGTCCATTTCCGAATTGGTTCTGCTTCGGTCTAAATTTTTTTTGTGAACAACTGAAAGAAAGAATACTATTTAAAGTTATCCAAGTTTACTCAAGCCCACGATATTATTTTGTTATTTGGAGGCAAATCATACTTAACTGACCTTCGTGTTCTGAATTCTGTCTGCTCCTGATTATCTCCTCCCTCCAATTTTCTGGTCCCGTCGACTGATGACTTCTATCGAAACTAACATCCCTGCTTGGATTCCTAGACTTGCTGTGGAACGGTTCGAAGCTCGGCGCCCGCCCGTCCCGCGAGTGTCTCCTGCTGCCGCGGCGATCCCTTGAATATTCCTGCGGCACTTTGAACAAGTCTCGGCTCTCCACACTAGCCGTCGAATCCCTTCTATTCCTGGACGGAAATTTGTCTGATACTAATGCCTCTGTCTGATACTTTAGTTCAGCATTTTTTTTTTGTAAACTGGCAATTGTAAGCACAATATAAAAACAATTAAATACACCTAAAATTAAGAATAAAGCTCTATAGGTTTAATATACAGTATTTCAACAGAAGACACATATGTAAATTCTCAATGTTAAACTTTAGACATGAAAAATAGGTTAAGAACCAACATATAATTGACCTTTTCTGTCAACAAAAACTTCTGCTGCGCCAAATGATCTATGATTTTTTACTTATTAGTCTGGTTGTTTTTATATTATGTGTATTTAAAAAAATTAGCAAGTATTACCTAAATATTTCTAGTAAAATCAGTATCTTACCTTTGTCTGCCACTTTTTCCACTCCTCCTATAAAAAAAAAACAAATAAAATATTTAAGAATATTTTTCTTTAAACGAAAATATTTGTGTCGAATAAACATAAGCTTATCTTTGAAAAAGCAATAATAATAATATAATCATAAGTTCTTAACCTGGCAGTAGTGCTGGGACTGGTCAATTGACCACTTCTTAACTCACTAGTCAAATTCGATCAAAATCTTTTAAATAACACCTTGCAGTTGTAGAGTGTTATCTATCATTATTTAATTATAATAATATGTATATTATAAGAAATTATTATACGTTTGAAATGTAAAATTTATCTATAACCATCTTCAAATATAAATTACATTGTGTATTTAAAATTATTTGGGTCAATTGAACAAAAAATGCGTGTGCCAATTCCACGACCCTACCTGGTAGTATACCCTTAATAAGTACTTTATTTATCGTTAGCTAAATTAAAAGAATAGTTTAGTTAATACTACCAAATTGATGGAGATTTATGTAATAACTTTTTCTAATTTTGATCCAAATCTTAGAAACCGATGTAATTTTGTGGAAAGTCATTAAACAAAATATTCACAACTCTTTACCTCAAGAGCTGGTGGAATTACTTCAAAAGTTGAACTTCAAAGTTCTATCAACATTGCATTTTGTTTTATCACTAGCTGATCAGTCGTCCTCATTTTTGTCAATTGATGAAGTACACTCACATGACTTTATTTAAACCAGAATATTAGTTTACGTTATGTTGTTCACTACTCACTTTTTTGATTTTCTGACACTGGGTGTAGTATTGGCAGATGTCGGCATTGACCTAGTACTGACGTCCTGCAAACTGGCCATCGACGAGCTTCTAGTCATGGCGTCGCTTAACGTTTCTTCCTCCAATTCTATCTCTTCATTCCAATCCTGATAAAATGTAAATTCTTATTTAAAGTAAATTCTATAGATAGTTTTCTCACCAAAATCTTGTGCTCGTCTTTGGCAACCAATTTTTCTTCCACACTAACGACAACCTCTTCTGGAGAGATGGGTGATAGTCGGGTTTCGGAGTTAGACTTAAAATCTTCCTTCTGAGAAGGAGTGACGCCACCAATCTCAGAAAGTTTAACATCTATTTTGTCATGATCATTTTCTGTGACTTTCTCAATAGCAATCGCCTGACTAACGTTTGAACTTCTACCCACAAATTCTCTTGTGGAACTCTGTCTTTCTCTACCGCCTCTTCTCTAAAAACGCCACAATTAACATAATTTTGACTTACATTCTTCTTGCATTCAAACCTCACATAGGCTGAATTCCTAACTTACCCTATGTCTGTTATCATTTCCCTTGTAGGCATCCCTCCTATCTTGGTCATTTCTCTCACCTTCACTTTTTCTATGTTGATTTTGTTCAACCCTTCTGTTTTTGTGGTCATTATCCCCATTTCTCCTCGACCTATCATCGTCCCTGTTTTGTTTTTCCTCGCCTTTTTTAGGTTTGTCATTATCTCGTCTATTTCTATTAGTTACACTGTAGTCAGATTTTTTATCCCTAAAACAAATAAAGGTGTAATTTGAAAACGTTTTTTTAAATGACTAATTCCCACCTTGATGCATTAGAATTGCAATCGTCATTACGATTTCTATCGTTGGGGAAAGGCGCGTGGCGTTCATTTCGTCTATTACTGTCATTTCTGTCGTTCACATCGTAAGTGCCATGAGAAAGTGGAGTTTGAGGTCGACTCTCGTATCTTCTTGTAGGGGTGGATGGACGCGAATTTGCTGGACTTCTGGGAAAGCTGCCCAAATAAATAGAATAGGTCTCATTGGCTTTTGATGTATGCGTTATTTCGGAAAGTGAAAAATATGCAATGTTCTAATTTACTTTCATTCAATCGAAATCGTTCCAGAAAAAAAAGTGGGTTTAAACTACAACTATAAGCTCAACCCTTAATCTCATAAAATCAAGAATTAGGCACAATATGTATATTGTGCAATTCTACATACAATGCAAAATTTTTATACATTACACATTTTCAAGAATACCAGTAACTCATGAAACCTTAACTCTTGTGCAGACCTATACTTGAAATCTGCTCAAAGCATGAAACGAGTAATTAATTAACACAGTCCACAGAAAACACATAAATCACATTTCACAAATAATATTTAAAAATCTGATTCTAATAACTGATGGTTAGTTTATTTCCTACAAATTTATGAATTTTGAAGTATGTTTTTATTTGCTTTTTTTTAGAAATAAATAACTAAATAAGCAGAGAATATTTCTAGAAATCTTTCAAATAAAAATGTAAAAACAATAAATCATTAGAAAACCATTAAGTAAGTAAAGTGTTCAAATATTACAATTCAACTATTTTGCTGAGATATAAAATTTGGATTTTACCAAGGTTATTTTGTGTTTAAAAAGCAATAGTGCTAACTATAATTTATTAACTGCCAACCAAATTTACCTTGCTCTATCAGGTGTCATTGATCTACCAAATCGCCCAGGCTGCCAATCTTGTTCATGGTGAGAGAACCGCCCCCTTCCTCTGCCCCTGCTGGGCAACGTCTGATATCCAGAATGTAAACCAGGCTGAAATCCATGCTGGCTGGAATTTGGCAATGTGTTGTAGTAGTCCAATGAATGGTAACCTCTACCAGCATTGGTCGAATTAACAGATGAACGGAATGTAGAACTTGAAGTTTCTAAGTCTTCCTCTGTCAATCCATTTTCCTCCATATACTTTTTTCTTAACCTGGGTGGCAAATTCTCTATCATTTTCAGTTTCTTTTCTTGCTCATAACCACCAATTGTGCTATGTCGTCTACCACTCGGAGGTTTCGATTGAATTTTTTCACTGTTATGATTGCGATTAGCCATTGCGGATGGTTCCACACTCCGTGTGTCTCGGTCCCTATGCCTGTCGCGATATTGCCAATTGTGTCCATTGTTAGTAGCTAAAAGAGATTTTGATTTGATTTATGATTATTAATGCGGAAAATACGTTACTAAATTTTAAAACCTTACATACATAATGAAGTATATTTGAAACCTAAATTTAGAATATAGAATAAAAATGTTATTAAAACCCTGTAATCATCTATGAAGTGCTTAAAAAATGAAACGGAATTATTAAATCTGCATTATTACCTCTAGGTTCAGATCCTAACCTAGCAGATCTATTACCCATAGGGGATTTATCTCTCCATTCATCAGTGTTCATGTACAGGTTTTGACTCCTATGAGAATATCGTTTTGAACTATTCATGCTTTCAAAACTTCGCTCACTACCATTATGCATAGCAGTGTCTTGAGTAAAGCCCTGTGGACTGTATAGCTCTCTAGATTGAGCAACTACTCTAGGGATGTAGAGCTCCCTTTCAGGTTTTTTTAAGCGTTTGGGTAAGTCTTTCTGGGCTGAATAGTCGGCAGTGCTATTTCCAGCTTTTGTCGCGAACGTCTCTTGAGATGCTACGTTGTTTTTTATCGCACGATTAGAGGATAAATTTGGCATTGAATCATCAGCACCTTGTGTCGACCTTCTCAATTTTCCACTGCCAGGCTTGTAAAGCTCTTGTTGGGGTTTACCACGTGGCATATTCTTCCTCGCTTCTTGTGTAAAATCTGGAACATCACGCGGACATTGGACCTTTTAAAATAAGTTATTAGGTGATTGTTTATAAACATGCGTTAAGATCTCAATTATCTAGGTTATGTCATTCTTTAACTGCAATTCAAGGAAACGTTTGGTTAAATAGCAGCAAAGCGAAACGCAATAGAAAGTGTAAACGTTGGAAATTCAGTTGCGATGTTTCAAAATAGCTAATTATTAAACACCTACCAACATCTATTTGTCTTTTGCGATCTTCCATGACATTTCATTTTTGACTTTTGACTTTCAACTTCGATGATTTAACTTTCATTAAACATTGACATGGACCAGAGTACAAATGAATTAAATTAAATTACATTGAATAATTGTGAGTATACGTTAAAAATTATGTTTTAGACCAAAATGACGCGACAAAGGGACTGATATAATAACTGTGGTTCTCTTTCCTTATTCCAATAAGTTTGCCAATATTGTATATTGTGATGACACAAAATTGTCCTGTGGATTTTATGTTTCAAACTGACTTTAGCCAGCGGTGGGTCAATAATCCGTATATTTCAGTGCTCGAGAATGGTTATAAACCGTCGCCGTCATTTAACTTGAAATGCGAGGATTTATAATTTAAGTTATCCTACGGTTAGTCTTGTCTAAATATACCGCAGAATATAGCACTAATTTATGCGGATGGCATTGTATGTGGCAAGATTCCTTTTAGGCTCTCTACAAAATTCATTGTCGAATCTTGATATCTGTCTAATTGTACCTGTAATGTATGTTTTAGGTATTTAAGTCTTCTACGGCACTGCTGTTTTCGTTATTCACCCCTATTGCACCCGGATGATTCTTGGCGGTAGCAGGGGGCAGGGGTGAGCTTTATTTTGTTTTCAATCAAATTAAGTCATAGTATATGTGATCGAAATAAAGAAATTACCACACTAATAGCGGTAATAGGCCAGTATTGTTAGTTACCCTCCCAACGATGGTAAAACAGAAGATATTTTGTACATTCTGCTCACTGTCTACAGGACCATAAAAACAAAAACCAAAACTGCTAACTGTAGTTGTATGCTGTATTTTCCTATTTTCGTTTTCGCAATTTGTAGTCGACAAGAATATTATTAGTTTAGGCACCCCTTGAGTTAACATAATTAATAACAATACTGGGCTAACCATAATAAAAAATTGTTGACTAACCCATTTTCTATGACAAAATGAAGGTCCACACTGTGGTGACTTTCTTTTGTTTTGCTTTTAGCACTTTAAAAGAAAGATCGTATTTCCATTTTGCATATAAAATCTTTAGAATAAACAAGTGTAGACAGCGTTTTAATTATTTTAATATTTACATTCCAACGAAATTACAATTTGTACTATACACGATAACATATGTAGTGCTTAATTTCTACATTAATACAGGCTGCTGCAAAATAAGGAAATTCCATCCTGATGGCAGATCGCGATTCTAAGAAAATTGATAGTCGAACTGACTCCGCGGAAATTTCACGAAGACATAATATACCACTTACTCAGTCATCTGCACCAGCATCTGCGTCTTCCAAGATGACTGGGTCATCTATTGGTACCGCCTTGGGTCCTAAACTGGATCAAATTGAAATATCACCCACCCAAATAACTAGGAGAACAACGTTAAAAGAAAACTTGCTAATAGATGGAAAAATCAGCATATTCTCACAAATGTACCCATCTACCAAGTGAAAGTGTTTCATGTTCCCAACAATTTGTCACTGTTTACAGAGAAGGTCACAGGGAAGCTCTATGCTGTAAATACAATGAAGAATATGATTATGTGGCGGTAGGATACTCGGACGGAGTTATTAAAATGTATCAGAGTGATAATGGAGAGCATGTATTTACTTTAGCTGATTCTGATGTTTTTGAAAACAGAGCACCAGTTACTTGCATTAAACACAGGCCAGTATCAAAGATATATCCCGTTACACACTGTTATACAGGAACATGTAAGTCCTTGGACTTCTTTTTAAAATATCACCCTCAAACCAAATAATTGTTTTTATTTGAATATTCAGATGCGAATGGTTGCGTAAAGTGTTGGAGTTATAATTTTAATGAATGTTTGTATACAATTAGAGAAAAACGTCAAACGTTTGGGATTACTTATCATCCTCGTTTCCCAAAATTTGTCACATATGGAGATGACTTGAAAGTATACTTTTATGATGAAGAAACTAGAACCCAAGAGCGTGTGTTGACAAGCAGGTGAGAATCAAACCAACATTTTTGATTACAGAATAGAAGATTTGATCGATATAGTATTATCAAGATTTGAAGAAGAAAATTTTTGACCCTGACCTAATTATTCTATTGTATTAGATCTTCTCCTCCAGGAACATTAGAATTATGTTTTGTAACAGAAAATTTTGTTTAAGGCTGCAAAACAAAAGGAAGAAGGGGGATAAAATAATGTTTATAAGGTATAAGGAGCGCCCCTCCAGCCTAAGATAAACAACTATTATCGCTATCAACTTCCCACTTTTTATAGGTATTTACTGTCTTATGCGGTGACTGAAGAAAGTTTTAGCGACTCTTTAAAATTTTTTTGTTTTTCAAAAATAAATCGATAACAAATTGAAAATACAGAACCATTTCTCTGTGCCGCTTTATACAGAAGCCATTAAATAATTTCATAGTCATTTTCAGACATATATCGCATAGTCTGCATTTATTATGTGCGCATCACACTATTTTCTCAATGTGTTCAACATCATCTGTTTTGTGCTTTATTGTTTTCAGTCATTTTTCTTTAGTGATAACAAAGACCTTCATGATGGTCATATGTCCAGAGTGTTTGCCGCCTGTTTCCATCCTAAAAACAACTATGAACTGTTAACAGGGGGTTGGGATAATGTGGTCCAATTCTGGGACCTTCGACAGCCTCATGCAATCCGGCACTTGTCGGGACTTCACATTTGTGGTGAAGGAATTGACATCAATCAAAGGGGGACGGAAGTAATTAGTCTCTAATAATGAAATTAATGTTGTTTAAATTAGATTTTTTAAGATTTTGATTTGCTCGTGGCAAAAAGGAGATCCTATTCAAATATTCGATTATGGTAGTGGGCAGCGATTGTATAGTTTAGAACCGGATATATATAATAGCAAGGTTAAACATATTTGTGAAAATGTGAATTGTTTTAATTGCCAGTTTTTAGTTGTACTGTGGAAAATATGCAACAAAAGATTTTGTGGTTTGCGCTGGGACTGATCCGAATCTAATAAGGATAATAGATCTACAAACTTCGGCGGTAGGTACCTTGTTTTCTTTCGAAAAAAACGGGTTGAATTTTTAAAGTTTGTTATAAAATTGCAAAATATTCGCTTAACACAAATTCCTAAATGTGATACATTTATTTGTTAACTTTCTTTATCCGTGTGGTAATGGCAAAAGATTTCAAACAACAAGAAATGGACAGAATATTTAAGTTTTGTGTGATTATTAAACAATGAACAAACATAAATAATACCTACCTGATTACCTAAGCAATAGCAAAACCTACGTCGTTGTTCAAGCTTTCGCTTTTAGATAAAAAAATTGAACTAATCCGATCAATATTTTTTTCATTTCCTTTCATGTGTTTAATTGTGTTGAATCGAATTCTATCGGGTTTGGTTTATCACCAGTTTGTGATCAAAAATTAATACCTAATACTTTAGAAAGGTTTACCCCACGTCTAAACCAAATAGCAATTACAAACTGCAAGTCAGTAAGATAACAGTATGGTTGCTGGGTGTGGCTTTGTATTCGGCGATAATTCGCTAGTTCTTGCAGACTCGTCGGCACGTTTTTTAAAATTTTGTTAACTTAAATTTCCAGATAGGCTTCATAAGTGAAATATAAAATGGCGTAAAGCGTTAAACACGCATGCTAAAGACGAGTTCACGAATAGATCTAATTAGATATTTTTTGTCAAACTTCATTATAAATTTATAAAATTTGGAAATATAACTGGTTGTGGAAGTCCTGGTATTAGGAGTGACATTTTGATTACATACACCCACAAAAATGTGGACAAATGTTTCTACATCCAACAAAGTTGCAATATAATAATTTGCTATTCTGTAGACGTCGGCCTTTATAAGTCAACTCCCAGGAGCAGTTTATGCTTTGGATTTAGGCCCCAGCAAACTCAGAAAAGAAACCAAACAAGAGAAAGCATCTGTAAAAAGTGACCCAGCCATTATTCCTAAAATAGCATTCGTGTCGGCCAAAAGGCTCTATCAAGTGGATTTTTTCTAATTTAATGGGAATAAAACCAGCTTTCCAAACAATAATGTTCTTTAATTTCAAGTGTATGTAAACAGTTTTCTTTTCTTCATTTATATAAAGCGGTACATCGTAATTATAATTTACACCTATAGTACAAATTAAAAAAAGTTACTATCACACAAATACACGAAAGCAAAAAAAAAAACGACAGCAATTCTTTTTTTTTAAACGTAGGACTTAATCTAAGTAAACAATTGGTGATATTTTACATTGCTCAAAGTTTTACGATGCCTGTAAAATATTTGAGAACATACCGAAGTTTTAGAAAGTAAGTTGAGTCGTTTTTATTGTCGGTTAAAAAGTATTCAGTCGAAATTTGATAAAAATGTAAGCTTCCCTTTTTGTGCAAGAAATACAATAATGAAGTGTACAGAGATCCTAGTGAAAATACTTGCACTGCCTCTATAATGGTAATAAGTTATTCCAACCTCGTTTAAGCCTCATTTTAAATAGAGCACTAGTATCGTTTTACCCTCAACTTACCAGCCTCCTCCTTTCAGCTTATTACAGGGATTTTAATCGATGCCTTAAATTTCAGACGTTTCATAAAACTTATTACCTTCTTCAGAACAAATACCAATTATTTTCTATAAGAAATAAAAATCGTAGATTTCAAACACGTCACTGACATTGCTTATGCTGAAAAACACACTGTATGATGATGTATGTATTTTATTATTTTTTTGCACATATTTATTTGTCCTGAACATCGCCTTCTTCAATAGTACAACTCTCAGAGTAAAATCATCAAAGGCGTTAAAATAATGTTGAAATTAATGTGGAGTGTTCTACCTAAAACAAGATAATTTAGAACAAGTAACTGAATTCTAAAAAGACAAGATTATTTTAAATAACAACCAATACCTCCATGTTTTTATTTTATACAATTATTTAATTATATGACTCTCGACAGTATTTCAGACAGATTTTTTAACAAGTCAAAAAATACAGTCCGCAAAGTATGTACAAACAGAAAGCGGGATATTCTTCTTAACGGATAATTTGCACTATTTTTGCGTAAAAACCAGTTACATCTTGCCTTTTAGATATATACAAAAAGAAATTAGAGAGACATTCGCTACGTCTTTAATTTGTATTTGATTATTGTTATTGTTTTAAAGGTTGTGCCAGTTTAATTTCCTGCTATCATTGGCTCCTGGTTTATTTAAGAGACACGCTTTTTAAATATGCATATTTATTTTTGACTGACCATAGAGCTAATTTCTGTATGCCATGGATTTTTTCCTCTGTCAATGTTTTCATAGAATGAATATCTAAAACTATTTCTTTAACTTTACGTAACAAAAAAAAAATTAGTGCGGTCACAGCCATTTTCTTTTGTATGTTGAGCATTACCTAAAAAGTAAAAAAACTCAATAGAATTGCGTATTCCAAATAAAAGAAAATAAAAATATGTCTATAGCTATAACAATTTTTTTATATTAAACAAAGTAAACAAATATCGACGAGGCAAAGCGTTTGTTGGAACGATCAATGGTTATACATTTATATTTCATTTGTAAAACTGAAATCGTAAAATTCGAAAATTTAACATTTTAAAGAAATTCTTCTATTCTCTTAACACTACAACATCAATTGAATGCGGAATAAACCATATTGTCCCTAAAAATTCATTTTGACGAGATTTCACATGATCGCTAAATTCAAAAATTGAGCTTTTTCTTGACAATTAAAAAATTTAAATTCCTGTTGGGGTTTTCCAGAAAATTATACCTATTTAGTGTATATTTAAGAATCTTGATTAACGTGTTGGTTAAGCCTTTTAAATTTGTTAAAATTAGTTTTTTTTGTTGGGTTCTTTTTTTTCCTAATTATTTGTCTTCCGACACAATAGCCAAATGTTTTCAGTTTCACACCTGAATCTTTATTCTTAACAGTAGCCTATTCTTAACTTTTTGCCAGCATCTTCAGATCTGTTGCAATCAGGTTAGAAACTTCTCAATAAATTACATGACAGCTTTATTTGTTTCTTTGTCATAAATTTTTCTGCAGTGAAACGCCTCATCTAACTCAGAAAATCATTAAGGATCGTGACAGTAGTCATGACAGACTGTTCATTTTCTCCTCAAACTCTAGTATTTCGACCCAATAAACACAAACATTTAATTAATGTCATATGTCAACAGTCAGATGACGACATTGCAAGATGGAAACAAAAGCTCTCCCGCGCTCTACAAACAACTTTTCCCGCGCCAAGCGATCATTTAACCATGTCAAAACCAATTTATAGCTTATATCGAATTTATTCCTTATACGTTCAAATTTTAATTGGTTCCTGAAAACACGAATAAAATCAAATTTGTGATGCTTCTTCTTTCCTCAATAATTGAGCTTTACATAGTGTTGTACACGGGATTGTTGTGCCGCGGCTTAACGTTCAACTTAGCCAGAGGGTGACTCTTTCCGTACTGCTGCTGCTTTTTGGCCGCCTTAGCGATCACCGTCGCCGTGATACTTTTAACGGACGGTGCCACCGGCGGCCTTTTGTATTCCGTATCCGATTTACTTAGGTTGGAAATCAGTGGGGTCTGAATAATCCGAGGAGTTTTGTCCACCGATACCTCGAAGCAAGAATAACGGGAAGTGTTGCGGGTTTTTGCGGCGTTCGATTTACCGAGCTTCTGGCGGAGTTTCACCTGGTTCTCCTCTTTCTTGCTCTCGAACACGCTCCGCAGCACCTTGAAATTCATATCGTCGTTGGATTTTTTCGGTTGCTCTTTGGCGTGGTGCGCGCAAACTGGCGAAGATGGCAAACTGCTCACCCGAGTCTTGCTCGTCGTCACTTTGAGTCCGTTTTCCGACGTTTCGGCAACGCTTTGTTCCGGGCAATTAGCACAGGATATCAATTTCGCCTCGAACTCTTTTTTTAAATTTTTAACTTTACCCAACGAGCCGGAAGCCCCGCTCTCCGAGTCATCCGACCTCTTGTTGGACGCCTGCGCGTCCTTGTGAAAGTCCTCCAAGAACTTCTTGTGCTGTTTAACGATCGAGCCGTTGGCGGGGGAAACATTGGAAGCGGATCGCGAAAGCGAACACTCCTGCGAGACGAACCCCATCGACGACTGTTCGGGGGCGCTGATAGACAACCGCGACACGGAAGGCGACAAAGAACCACTTCGATCGTCTACAGGAATGTCAATACTTTCCGATATGGCACTCGACTTTTCTTCGGTCGTTTTCGCTCTGTCGATAACGGCGTCGTTCACCGCTTCGGCAAAGTTGAAAAGTAGCGTTTCCGAGCTGGGCGTTTTTACCAAAGACAGCGTGCTGTTCGATGAGCTGTCACCATTACTGAGCTGCCGTGCGGGCGCGTTTTCCAATCGCTGTTTGGTGCGTTTAACGGTGCCCGGATGCCAGGGAATCTCCTCCCTGTCGTAAGGAAATATGCCGCTTGAACTGTGTTCGAGATCCGACGTGCTGTGTAGAATCTTTTCGCCTGAAATTGAAGTAATACAAAATATGGGAAAAAATATCTTGGTGATATATTCTAGGATTTCTTATTAAATAGACAGTTTTCTAAAACACAGTTATGCTGTATAATTTGCGTAATAAATGAAAACTAATCCTCTAGATACACATATAGTAAAAAAAAAAGCTTTCGGCTGAACCTTTGAATATATTGCTCGCTGGGTGCAATAATGGCACATATCAAAAAATAGCTATTTTTAGTTAATTGTACCATAAAAACCGCACACTTGTATTTTAACAACGAACAATACAGGCACATACTTATTTTACTTCAGTTCCGATAGACAGAGTTAGTGCCAATATTAAATTTCCCAGGTTTTTTAAAGATTTAAGAGCAGAAGCGGCACATAACCCACTGCGATAATTTTTATACAAAACAATTTTTATACAAAACAATTTTTACACAAAATAAATGACGTGTGTGTTTTCAAAGTAGAAAAAGATGCTTCAGACACATTTTTATATAAAACATCTTTTAGTGAAACTGACTATAGAAACATAAGCATTACGCACAGAAAAATGCGAGCAGGCGCGAATATTACATCTTTTGAAAATGTAAATCTAGACCGTTCTAATCGAGATGTTATACCAATTCCAAAGAAAAATTTTAATGACTTGATGGATTTGCAAAAAAGTAATGCTACTAAGAAATGTCACAGTTACTTTTGTAATAGCCTGAAATGTGCTTTGAAAATAGTCCTTTTTGTTTATTTTCCAAAAACCAGGCCAGTTGGTTGTTGCTTTTGCTTTAGAATAGCTTAGCTTTTGCTTACGTAGTTCTTGTTTCTTATAATTTTAAGAAAGGTGGCTCTCTACCAAAAACTATAGGTCCGTGTTTTTTATTGTTTACGTGTTAAAAGGCTACTTATCTGATTTGAGTTTTTATTTTAAAAAAATACTCCATGTACTACATGTATCAAAAACAATAGCTCGGTTGTTTTTTACTTATAGCTTTTCGATGCTTTTTGTAGTTATTGTTTACGTGTCAAAGTTTATAAAGGCACATTTTTCAGTGTTTTATTAATTTCCAGTTTTTTTTAAGGTACTACTATCTACCTATTTCCCAAATTAACGTGTTGTATTATATTTTTATACGTATTTTTATAATAACATGATAGTAAAACTTTGACCTACTATTTTATTGAGGATTATTTTTATCAAAATTTTACTCTTTATTTGTGAAAATGATATATGCAAAAAAAATCAATAACGGTACAAAATTTAAAAACATTTATAAAAGAGCCTCAAAAAATATTTCTTATTTTAAAAAGGGAATAATACAAATCGATATATAATTATAAAGACTCATCACTTAAAATTTTGTAATAACTAGGAGAGCTGATATCAGTTATCTCAATATTTCAGTTTTTATTTTTCTAAATCACTGATTTTCTCGGAACTATTATTTTGAGGGTGTGTCAAGTGATCAATATGATCCTGACTATATACCACACATCTACTGATGTGATTAGCAGTATTAGAGGAGAATCTCGTCTTTCCGTTTAATTTTAAATGACTAAAACCAAACTCCCCGATATCTTACATTTTGCTTATGAACAAACAATGAGGGGCTAGATGTGGACGCTGATATGTACATTACCTGTTGAGGAAGCTGGATGATGCATATTATAAAAATGAACTTAAAATATACTGATAAAACCGAATTTGTTCCCACTAGAAAAGATCTACACCGACAGACAAGCGCTAATAAAAGCAAAATAAGATCCAAGTTAGTTTTGGATTGTCATGAGGGATTAAACGAGATAGCAAATCAGAAGAAAGTGACGCCTGTCATGTGTACTAAAGCACGAAAGTAACGAAAGCGCAGAAGAAGTAGCCCGCGATAGCTGGTTAAAGGCAACCCTGGAAAAGTCAGCAAGCAAAATGCAAATGCAAAGAGAATTCTAGAAATGGTCGAGAGACATGCCAGCACAAAGGCAGTACAGACAGTTCTTCAAATTTACAGCAGACTTGCTACGCTACAAAAGAAAGGCCGTAAGAATCATGGAAGGTCTAGTGACGGGCCCGCAGGGTTAAAGACTAGAACAAAACACTGAATGCAGAGTCTATCAAGAAGAGGAGGAAATAGGCTCACATCTAATGTCAATATGAAGGAGCCACTATCGAAGCTGTGTAGTCTAATCAGAGGGATCAACCTAGACGGATCGCAGTTATAGGTAGGCGAATTGTCAACTCTCCCAAACCTTAAATCCCGAAGACCAAAGAGAGTGAGAAGTAGATTGTCGTAAATACCTAGGTACAGTGATTAAAAAGCAGCGCACCTATGACAAAGCAATACAAAGACAGAAACATAAAAATAAGAAGCCGCGAAAGTAAGAAAAGAAAAAGAAAGACAACCAACCTCTCATATTAGCGGGATGAAAATGCAATTTTAAAATCTGGTCGAATGATCTTCGATGTTGGAAATGGTAGGAAAGTTTAACTTTGTAATTAGGCAAGAACTATTCTTAATGGACCCTTTCTGTGCTTTTCATGTTCTGTACTTACCTTTCTCATTATTATAGTAAACAGATCCCCTCGGCCGGATATCGTACGATCCCCACGAACTATTTCTACTCGGTAACATCCGGGTGTCGCCGGAACCCCACGAGCTGTGCCTCGACAATTCCGCCGTTTCCGGAAAACCGAGCGCAACGGCACTGTCGTACGAGCTCCACGAACTCTGGCGCGATGGGCACTCCCTTAGATGCCCGTCGCCTGAAGTTTGAGTGTCGGCCGCCGGGGGTGCCGCCACCCCCGACAGCCTCTGCTGCCTTTTCTCCTCTCTATCAAACACCCGGTCCAATTGATTCGAAAACGGATCACTTTGAGCGTTCTTAATACGAGTAGATTGAGATTCAGGAACAAAGTTACTACCACTATTACCACTAGCACTAAAATTACTTAAACAGGACACAGCACTTTGAGTCTTGATCACGGTCGAAGATGTCCACACCGGCGGAGCGCTCTCGTTCACTAAATTAGTTATTTGATCACAGACGGCACTGACTGGACTGTCCCGACAGCTGTCCTCGACCTCCCCGGGGTCCCACGTCGTCTCCGACTTCCCAGTCTTTGAACTAAAATTACAGGAACTATGCTCGTTCGTTTCGCCGAACCGCGACCCAACGCCGGAAACGAACTTGCTCTCGTCTTTTCTGGATAGTGACTCCTTTTTATCCGTCGAATCGTGGCCAGGCAAGTGAACGATTTTATTCGGAGACACGCTATACGATTCTCCGTTATCACAGGGTATCAACACGTGACGGGCCAACGACAGTTTGCTCTCTTGCACGCTCTCCTTTGATGCCGATTTCTGGCTGAGATCTTCCAACGATAAAAATCCTGGAGACGATTTGATTCCCTCCCGTAGTTCTCGCGTTTCGAGGCTGTCTGGAGACCAGGATTTCGGCCGCGCACCCATTTGTCGTAGGTCTTGACCAGATAGGGTAGATTGCAAGTCATAGGACTTGGACAGAGCTTGAACCACGGGCGTCGGTTCGCTACCTGGCGGAATCTTTTCCGTTTTGTTACTGTTAGTGGGCGATTTGAGGTTAGTTTCAGACTTGGATCTCTGAAGTTTTTCCTTATTTTTCATTGCATCTAATATACCTGGAAAAGACCGAAATAAGTTGCATACATTTTGGTAGTTAATGCCAAAATACAAGGCGACACCCTATTCATAGGGCGCTACCAGGGTCCTTATGGAAGTGAAAATCCAATAGAATATGGGCGTATTTTTATTGAGAGTGCGCAATTACTTATTCTTGAGTGTCATTTTGTCGAAAATCAGTAGAATTTTATTCCCCAGGAAGATGTGTTGGGGGATATTACATATTCTTGTGACGGTTGTTGCTTTTCTAATTTAAATTTTATAATGGAAGAATATCTTGCACATTCTTGGTTCATTTTTATTGTCAAACTAAAAATTTGTAAAACTTTTCGTTTGATTGATCAAATCAGTTTGTTAAAAATTTATCTATGTGCTTCAACCTATTCCCGTTAGACCAACAAGAAAGTCACCTATAGAACTAAAGGAAAGCAAATTTTACGATAGATTTTTTCATTAATGCCAAGGCATGTTTCTTTCAACAGTTTCTTTTTTCTATGATTGCAACACACCTAGGCACATACCTATCCCCTTTGTTGAAGAAGGGTGTTTGCCGGATGGACAAAATACAAAAAGAACTGTGAGAGAGTTCCTCTATTCTATTGCAGACAAGAATTAGCTCTTAGGGCCCGATTTCTCGATCGAGGGATTATTTATCTTGTTCATTTTGTCATTATGACGAGAAAGAGAAACCATCGGCTCTACCGGTTAAATGAAAAATTAATCAATCTATTAGTTAAGTCCTCAAACTAAACATAATATTTGCCCCTTTTGTGATGTGTTGCTAATGCACAAGCCATGCAATGCAAAAATACCACTTTCTATCCACTCGTTTCAACCAAAGAAGTATATATTACCTTGGTATGTCTCAAGCTGATTCAAAAAGTTGTTATTCGGCTTGATACATGAGCGTTTCTTTTTGACGTGTAGCAAAGCTTTTTGGAAGTCCCAATTGTAGGCTTTCATGGCATATGCGATCACTACACTAGCCGATCGACTGACTCCCATTTTGCAATGGACCAGTACCTTTGAACCCTCGTTTCTTGCTTTCGTGATGTACTTAAAGGTGTCGTCCCAGTGCTTCAGCAAGTCGGTTTTCTCGTCGTCGTAAACTCGTACGTTTAGATAGTCGAACGTGCCGGGGAAAAAGTTATCTATCTCTCTTGTTACATTCAGGATATGACCAACACTGAAATGAATAACAATAACTATATTAAGACTTACCCGCTTGCCATTATCAAAGTAGTAAAAATTACATAGCACGGGTATGTTCTTACCCGTTTCTCTGCAGTTCTTCGTAATTACTGGCATTCCATTCGGAGCCCAAGTACACGTGCTCGAAAATTTCTGTCGGAGCGTCCATTTGGCCCAATATTACCAGCATCTCTTGATCGATGAAACTCTTGTATTCACCCAAATCCATATCGAGCTCCTCTTCGAGCCGCGACCTGATCACCTTAGAAGTGACTTCGTCCAGGTCGACTGACATCATAATTTCTTTAAGGGTAGATCGGATTACCTGCAAATAAGAATAGGCACATATTATAATTCTATAGGGACTAAATATGTTATTCCTACTACATAATACAAATAGATAAATAGGTAGGCCAAAAAAAAAAAAAGGTGAAAAATACGAAAAATCAAAAAATATCCAATATACACTGCGTCTCAAGATAAGAAAGGCCACAATTAGGATCTTTGAAACGGTAACCAATAGAGGAGATTTGGCTGGAGAAAAAAGTTATTTTGAGAGGTAAACATGTAACTAAGAAATTAACATTAAAGTAAAAAAAAAAACAATTAAACTCCTTTATCTAAACTCAAATTAAAAAGTGCTTTCAGAATATCATATTAACCAATTATCAGGGTCGCTGTGTAGTGGAGAGTAACATCATTAAAAAACATTATTCGTTGGTCGGTTTAGACTTTAATGAAAGCGAGAGCAATGATAAACATACGGTCGAGACTATTTTTTTTTATTTTAGGTAGGTAACCTCCGATTAATTAAGTGTTTTTGTCACAATCTAAAAAATTGCTCAAGCGAATAAAAAGTAGTTTAATGCAACAAATTTTACAATTTGTTTTCAAATTTAAAGGGGTTATGACTGATAATTATTCCAATAAGCAATTTGATGAAAACACACACATTAGGCTAGATACGATTCTTTTATCATCGAGTCACGGTCATCGGAATTTTTCTGTAGATAGGCTTTGTTTTTAACTATCAAAATACAAATTTTTAATATTTGAAATGCATCCTACAAATTTTAGTCTTTTTGTACTTTATCACAACCGTATAGAACAGTTTCAGAACAGCCAAGACTCGATTTACATATCTTTAAATTAAAAATAATGAAACATGGAATATCGATATTACCCCCTCTCATTTTTGTCTAAATTATTTCAATGTATTGAATAACCCCAACAATCCGTGAAAATTAATATTTCTAACAAGTTGTCTAAAACATTGAAGTCTTATTTGAGGTAAGTTTTTCCATAATTTAAACCCAACAATACGTTATTAAAAGTTTGTTGTTCGGGGTCGTGAATATGTGGCCTTTCAATATTATTATTATTACAATTAGTAAAAGTATGTCGTCCCTGATCCCTGTTATACTCCACAATATACACCCAACAGTCATTTAATTTTACTTTCATCATACATACATCCTGAGATCTGTCAAATAGGATTCGACTCCTGTTACTCTTTGCTCAGCAATACCTGGCACTTTACCTTTTCGGTCTCCTCCCTTTCCGTCGGTTTGGTCCGCACCGAATCGGGTGACGGTGGTCTACGCGACTCCAGATTGTCCATAGCGTGCCACTCATTTAAACATGACCTCTCCGACTCAATACGCTCTTCGTAGTAATCCACCCAACCGTGAGTCATGCCGCCTTGGAAGTAGTTCTCTTCCCGTGCTTTCGCGCTGACCTTGTGCAAAGTTTGAAGAGCCGACCTAAAACAAACACGTCCCTTAATTCATTACCGATGACGACGAATTTCGTATTTTTAGAAAGATAGCGATAGCAAATCTGAATCATTTATTGTAAGCCTATTTGAAAAGTAAAAAAATAAAATAAAGTGATATTTCCAATTTTATTCGGTGCTGACTTTTCCCTAAATCTCCACTGACATAGACTGACACTCAGTATGTATTTATTTAACCCATATATCAACTAAAGGTCCTGCCTATGCTGATAATATAGGAACTTATGAATCAACTATAAAAAATTGCCAACATGGCCTGTGACATAGTCAATACGTTTGGATGCGGCATTTTTACGGCAGCATGGTTTCAAAATATCTCCAGATACCATTAAATTTTCAGTCAAAATCGCAGCGTGTAATATTCCCTCCTTTATTTGCCTCCAAATTATTTGCACACGTTGGTGCAAAGTGCGTCAATTTCGTCCGCATATTATGACCATATAAATCGAAATATCAATTAATTCTCCGTCGTAAGAAACGGATCTCGAATAAGTAAGAACTAGTCCTGTATCTTACGAATGAAATATTTTTAGCGCCTGTAACGCTGAGCAAGCGATCGGCGGAGATGGAGAAGACTATATGTCTTAATTAATGAAAAAGATCCATTTGCCGGTTTGCCTTTGATTTTCAAGTTTTTTTATACTGTAAACTTAAAATAATAACACGAGTATGGTTAAATATCATTCTTTCTATACAACCAGAAAATAAATTAATATTTTAAGCAAACATACAAAAATTCTGGATGATGAACGATGATTAGTTTCATGTTTTGCTTTGGTTTCGTTAGACAGACAATAAATTTAGAAAAAAAAACAAACCTTCGAAAATTGGAGCATTTGCAATTACATTTGACACTTCCTTTCAGTCATAGATATTCTATTAATTTCCAAAATGTAAATAAATAATAAACAGGAATTTTACCGCCATTCTCAAATCATTCTCAAATTTGAAACAATTTCCAAAAAAAAAAATTCAGGTGTCCGATATTTCACAAGATGATTTCTCAAATAAGATAAAGATTTAAGATAAAAGTTAAATGCCATTTAAAAAAGTAATCCCACTGATATTGGTTACCTACTATGCAACTGTAAATCAAATCCCATTGTACAATAAACAATTTCACACCAATATTTCAAAAAACGACCTTTTTCGTGTAAAAATGTTGGAGTTTCAGTAACAACAAAGTACTGAACGAAATTGTCAATTTTCGTTCAGCACTATTTAGCAAATTTTGCAACAAAAATAAAACTTTGGCATGTATCTTGACAACGAAGCAAGCTACACCACACGTCCATAATAATTTTCTACCTTAATTATATTTGAAAAAATATCGTGTGATAGAACACTTATTAATTAACACCCTGTATAAACGAACCCTATACAATACAATTTAAATAAAAATGTTACTATTTACGACGGTGCAATATCAACAATCCATTGTCTCATTTATTATCCATCACAACAAACTCGTCAGCCGAAATGCACTTTACAGCAAATGTTCCGATCGGCAGATTATTTAAACACAAACTAAATATCGAGGCATTAAGTCACGCTGTGAAGATGAACCCATCTGAAAAATTAAATGGAATTTCATGTCTCGTCTACTTAAAAATTAATTATTTTTTCCGAGGCCATTGTGTCTGTCGGTACGAGATATGAAACCAGAATTGACACGGTAATTGGAGAAATGTCATTAAAGCGTAATCATTAGAACTGGCAACCCGTTATATACTGAAATACCTCTGAAAATGCAATTACTAGAATGAAGTCTCAACAGGAAGCCATCAGGCACTGCGTAATGAAGAGAAAGTTCGTTGGCGACTATTTTCGAAAATTGGAAAATATCGTAATAATTCGTTTGTTTAGTGTTTTGAAATTTTGGCTGAACAAAAGGAATGAATAACTAACCCCTAACTACAGATGCTGTACAGGGTGTAGGGTAAATAGAATATTGAAAAATAACGTTTAAGGCAGGGTGATTTTAATTTAATTATTTAGATACCCGTTGCAGTTTGCTAATGGGTTAAACTAAACTTGTATAGGTTATACATTTTTAATTCAGAAATTATATAATTTACTACGAAATCAAAATAAACTTATTGTATGTGTGCTATATTAAATGCTAATAATTATTAAGTTTAATTTTTCATAATTGGGGTCTACTAGTGAAAAAATTAACGATAAAGATAGCCCTATTTTAGAAACAAGCCTAATGGAAATTTCTTTAAAAAAACGGCTAATAAATTTATTACAATTAATTATTACAAAAATAAATTTAGTTTATGCATAAAAATGTATAAGTTACAAAAGAAAACTGACTACGTAAAAAAAAACCCTATTAAGACTAGTTTTTACTTTATCGAGAAGTCGGATGCCTAGTATTGGGGCTGGTCAAATGGCCACTTCTTAATTGACTAGTCACATTCGATCAAAACAGTTTAAATAACATTTTGCAATTGTAGGTTAATTATTTAATAATAATATGAATTTTATAATAAATTATTATGTAGTTGTGATGTCCAATTTCCCTAGAACATTATTCAAGGAATACCCGAATACGATACTTAGTCATTTGGGGAATTCCGATAAAAAAATTAGTTCTCAGAACGACGCGACGGCGACGTAACGCACAATATAAATAAACAAGGAGCTTTGGGTTCAAAAGCGGCACTACGCAAGCTTTATTCATAAGGGAAGGTAATACGCAAAACCACCAAAAATGGCAGACACTGTACAGTGTATGTAGTCCGTAAAACATATAATCTTTTTTGATTATTTTGTCTCCCTATGAATTAAGGGTCATTTGGAAATCAACTTCTAACAAATCCAAATAAAATAAAACGTCAAATAAATAATAAACACACCTGGAGAACTGAGGAAATAAAGTTAAATAATCGATAAACGGGACACTAAATGAAAAATCTACATATGGCGGCATTATCGGTTTCCTGTTGCAACTAATTAGGGGACTGCAATTTCGAGACAAGAACGTTGTTAAAAGTGATTTCCTAAATCCGGCCACTGCGTTTTTATTAGCAACAGTGAACGGCAATTATTTACAAGCTCCGCATTTACAAACATCCGGTCCGGATTCACGACAGAATTGTTTAAATTATAATGTTCTAAAATGGTTACGAATTTAAAAAGAAAACTGCATATTACACAACTATTTTGGTAAGTTGTTGGTTAACCAATTTTCAAAGAAGCTTTTTATACATTACTTTTTGAGTGAAAAATGATATACGCATAAAAAATTTAAAATATTATGGATTTTTCGATTGGAAATCAATGCCGGACAAGAAAAATATTTTCAAATTCTTATAAGCTGTAACATAACCTCTTACCGTGACCAACTCTATATATCATTTGATAGTATCTCTGTAAACTCTTACACCATTATAATCAGGGAATCATTTTTTTCCCTCCATAATCATACTGTTAATTTATTATAAAAGAACACTTTATTTGACACTATCACGGTGCTGTTAGTGTAGTTTTATAAGAGACGATTACCGAAAGTGTCATTTTACGACCGTTGGTCACGTTCCCATACAAGAAAATTGTATGTTTAATACGCTTTTGTATATCCAAATCGGAAATGTTAGTATTGGTATTGATAATAAGATATTCTTGGCTCGGTCCACCGAACCTATTATATCTTGGGGTACACTGTAACGTCAGATATAGATTATGTTGGAAATAAGAGTTTCCTGGGGCTTTCGCATATAGAAAATAGTCAGCGATATAAAGTATTAATTTCTACATAAATTTACTTTTTAAAACTATTCTTAAACTATTTAAACCTTAAATAGAGAAGAACTCAGAATTATTTTTGATCGAAATTAAGCCGGTAACTTTACTTATTGACCTGCACAAAACTACTTGCGTACTTTATTCAATCCTCAAAACTAATCTCGGATGAAGAAATTGAGTGTTTTAGAACTGTATTTGGATTATTTCCCATTTTATGAAAAAAGCTTGTAATACAATCTAACTCAAATCTTTAAAAAAAAATTTAAGTTCATTAAACCCTTGTTCAAAGTCAACTACACTAAAGCAAAACAACACGTAAGCAGGTTAATAATCTAAAGTTGAGCAAGACAACAATAACATAAAAACAATCCGAAATAGTCGCTTTCCATTTTAGGAATGGTCCATCGCGCTGAGAGACTGGTTTGGTCAGCGAAAATTAAAATGTAGCATTCAAACTAACATATTTAATAATACCCATTTTTATTGAAAAAATTGAGACAACATATTTAAGAATCACTTTAGAACGAATGTTGCCCTGCACAACCCAACCACCTTGTGCTTCATAATATAAAAATGTACAAATGAAGTTCAAAATTATTTTCCTTCCAAATTTAAAAAAATTACCTGCTTATATTGTTTCGATTGTTCTTTTCTATACTGCTGCAAGATATCAAAACAAAACTGTGATGTGCTAATATTGTAGTGCCCGTAATTACCAGCAATTGGTATTTAGGAACTTGGTACTAGGTACTGAATACTCTTACAAGATAAAAAAAAGGCTTCCAAAACTTTTCCTTAAAACCTCTGACAGGATAAACTCTTGACAATTCTAGAAAACCCCAGCACGACTCTGAATAAAGCTATTGACATAAACGTTTCTTGACCTGCCAGGCTTTAGTAATAACATAATAGCATTAACTCTTAATATGGTATAAATTGTATTTTTTACTATTACGTAGACAATATGCTATACTGTTTCGGCCACCACGATTTCGAGATGTGTAAACATGCTATCGTGTTGAGTAAATAAACAATTAAATAATTGACCGCGATTTCGCCGTACGCTAGAATTTCTTGGAATCGAAATGAAAATGAAAAAAATGCGAAAATATTTTCTAAAGCCGATTTCGCAAAGCGTTATTAAAAATCATCGCTATTTAAACAAAACGCCGCGGATATATCAAGGTTATTTAAACGCGTATTCACCATGTTAAT